CCCCAAAACCCCAAAACCCCAAAACCCCAAAACCCCAAAACCCCAATTTTTACTTATTTTAATAAATTAAAATGAAACAGAAGAGGAATAAGTCAACCAGAAAGGCACTAAACTTGCGATATTCCTTAATGAAATGTGAGAGACAAAGAAACAACAGTGTGAAGAAATCAGGAAACAAGAATATTACCATTAATCCTTCGAACAGAGAGTCTATAATGAAGGGATTTAACTATGAGGTGGCACTCGAGTCTGCTAAGAAATCTAGCACCAACGAGTATCACTCTAAGACGGTTGAATTTAATATTAATATTTTTAACAAATAAAGCCAAAAAGGATGTGTATAAAAATTCAAAGAAATTTAAAGCTCAAACTCTTAAAAAGATGTCCGACTGTAAAATATTCTTTCCCTCAAAGGGCTTGATTGGAAAAGTGGAAAGTAAATATAAAGAAAAGCCTCAGTTTGTTATCATCCCCAAAGAAAAATACTTAAGAATGCAGAGCGGGACTAATTTTGATAATACTACTACATTAAGAAGCTCTCCCTTTATGAGGAAGAGTAGGAAGAATGCAATGAATAACTACAAAAGTAATAGATCTCTGATAAATTATTCCTCCCCGCCTCGCCAACCAAAGAAGAAACTTTTCCAATCTAGAAGACTAAGAAAGTCAACTGATTATAGAAGGCCAAGAATAAGTGCAAATACCTCTTCTTGAATGTTGAAACCCTCTAAATTTAAGAATCTTTCGAGACCTAGAACAGGCATATTGAAGAAAAGGAAAGCTTTAGAGCCATTAGTCAGATATAAAGCATCTAAAATGCCTAAAGCGAAATTTAAAAAGCCATATATAAGGGTTAATGCATCCATAGAATATCCAACAGAGACCTCGATGAATATACAAGCATTCAGGAAGAAAAGCTTAAAGTCTACTAATAAGATGGAGGAGCGTTCTTGGATTGATGAGTTACACACTCATTCAAGAATCAATATCAATAATATCTAACCTTCAAGCCATTTATAGTCTTATTTCCGAGTATCTCTTTCTAGTAACGACTTTAACACTTTTTATTTATTCAAGAGGGCAGATAACTCCTCGGTTTGATCTCAAATAACTTTCATGTTTACCCATTAGGGTTTTGCTCTCAACATGTAATAAAAAGAACTTAAATAGTCACCAAAGTTTAAAATACACTGTTATTCTTTTGAAAGACTAATTATTTTGAAAATATGTTTTAGAAATAGTGTGAAACGTAGTATTTTTATTAATACAAGACTCTAGAGAAAATAGTATCCTGTATTGATGTTACAGGATCTAAACTACCAATAGTATTAGCTTTAACAGGTTAGCCTCCTTCTCTTCGAACATAGATTAAGTTTGTTGTATAGTTCAATGGAGAGAAGTCAAAAATTATGGATTGATAATTAAAACAATAACTTGTGCTTAGCTTAAGTTTGTGAGTTAAATATTTATAGTTTCACTTATTATCTGAATTCAGTTTTAGTTTTCTGCAATCTGGCAAACTATAAATTTACTTTGAAGGGATATTTCTGAAAATTATCTTACTGTGGCATTGTGTGCCATTTAAAAGAGCTTGGTTCACAACTCCTTATGCATTGCTATTTGTTCAATATTCCTAAGGCAGAGAGGGGTTTTGGGGTTTTGGGGTTTTGGGGTTTTGGG